GACAGAAGCGCTGTTGTTTGCTTTTGTGTTTGTTTCTTTTGCAGTTGGCATAACTGAAACAGAAATGAAAGGCATAGTCTGAGATTGTGCAGTGAACGGCCCTGCTGTGGACAGCCCTCTCCAACCAGACTAGTCTTTCTTTACTGGAGAGATGCCTCAGAAACGGAGCCTGAGTGGTTTTGTATGTGTTCGTGATGGCGAGGTTCTTCTCTAACAGAGTTTTTTCTTTCAGTAGACTTGCTTCTACTAAGACATTTGTCCCTCCACCAACTGTGGCGATAAGAACTCATTTTTTTCTTTTTAGTAGTAGTATTTTTTAATTTTACCAGAGAGAGACCAAAAAGAGAAAGTGAGAAAGCAAGCTGCTAGGTCTAGAACTCGACCCACAGTTGGCCATGTGTAAGTCTAGCATTGCTGGTCCCATCTTACATTTTATTTTAAAGTTTGTTTATCTTTTTCCATGAAGAGGGCACCCACAGCAGGATCTGTGTGCTGTGATCCAGCTCCAGCCAACCAGATCCCAGGCACACTCGTGCCTCCACACATGTACAGAAAGGCCTCAAGCCACCAGCCCACATGGCCTCCCCATTACAGAGTGTCACATTCCCCGCCGCATCACTGCTGGGCCTCTGAGGCTGCCTAACCTTACATTTTTTAAAAATAATAAAATGTTATTAAAATTGTGTCATGAGGGCAGGCTCAGTGGCTCAGTGGTAATGCCTGCTCAAGCAAAGCTGGATCTAAATGGAAGACCTCAGGATTCAGTCCCTCAGTCAACCTATACACGCCAGGCGCATGCCTGTGACCCTGGCCAGCTGGAAGGCAGGGGGATCACAGTGTGAGACTCTGTTGAGGGTGCTTGTCTTTCTCTCCCTTTCTTTTTCTCTCTCTTGAAAAAAACAAACTTTTTGAAATTGTGTCCTTATACAGTTACACGCCGTTCTTGAGAACGTGTAGGACTTTTTTATTAAGTAACACCCCGTTTCTTTGTTGGAGGAATAATACCAAGCTGAGTAGTTTGCTTTTGTTTTTCTGGCCATGCAAACTATTGAAAGTGTAGGATAGTGAGAAAGGATGGAATTCAGTTCTTCCACCCCTCTGAACTTGCGTTTGGACATGTGTAAAATGAGAAAAATAGCTACATGGTGGAGTTATTAGAAATGAATACTGTGTGTGGAGTGTCTGCATGCCTGCTTGCCATCATAACTCCATACATGATTGCTGTCATCATTACATATGATACACACCAGTGTCCTTCCGACTTTTTTGTGGGATTTTGAGCATCTGAGATACCTTCACCTGTCCTTGGTCTCATTCCTTCTTTGTGTCTCAGACTGTCCTTGTCATTCCAAACACAAGTTTGAGCCAAGATGGCACCAGTGAATGGACAGTAAACAGTATCCAAGGTAGCTGGGTATATTTTCTCAGGGACCATCGCTGCCTATGAAATGATAAAGAGAAGGCTGGACTTTTCCTGCCATTTCTAATGGGTGTGGTGGTGCAACTATCCAGAGTACAAGAAAACAAAGCGCTCATGGTGTGGTTCTCTGGCAGTTATCACAGGGGAGAGCATGACAGTAGGGTCACCAGAGAGAATCCAGCTCCAGTCAGCCTCTCTCTGGCCTCCAGGCAAGACTGCATCTGTGGGCCAAAGCGTATGCCCACCCGTGAGGCCCATCCTGTGGGGGCTCCTGCTGTGTAGGAAGCAGGAGTGTTGGTGCCAGTCAGAGCGAGGTCCCCATCCCAGCCTTGCTGTTTCCCAGCAGTGGGAGGTGAAACAAGTTTCTTAACCTCCATGAACCTCAGTTTCATCACCTATGGAATTTGGTTCATGTAACCATGGTGTCTGCTTCCTAAAGCTGTTGGAAGGATTACATGAAGTAGCTAAGGTCTAGTGCTCAGTGCAACCTCCAGGAGGTCCAGAGCGAGTGGTTGATTTCGTTTTCTTTGTGGCTTCTGTGGAGGGTATTTACGCCAGGCCTCTCTTCATCTTCTCTCTCAACTTCTATTTTATGCCTTAGAGTATTAAAAGCAATAAATATGAGTCAGCCAAATGGTCATTAGTAATATTTTGAACAACTAAATAGCCACAGTTGAGTTGTATCACTGCTCATTCTCCTAGACTTATTATAAAAAAAAGGTACCAGGGTCTTCGTAAACATAGGTAGGCTCCTGCTTTTGGCACCATGAATACCAAAAAGCGTTCCACTGACAGATGACACATAGATACATCTAAGTAACACTGCGGCTGTAGGGCCAAGGTGAGATAATACACATAAAGCCCTTAGCATGTAGTATCTAATCATCGCATTTCGCTACCTCCCTCATAATCACCATCAGCTGCTGTCAGCGTGTCAGGCACTCATAGGCACTTTACATGCATTATTTCTTGACTTCTGCAAATTTATGTTAAAGCCTGTATTTGGGCCCAGGACTGTCCTGGTCCCAAAGCTACCACAGCCCTTTCAAAGGCCCCAGGAAAATATAAGCCCTTGGAGCATGAAGTCATTCCTCATTATCTTAATGTCTTAGTTCCTGACACAGGGATTCAACAGATGCTGGGTGAATATTGACTGATGGACCACCAGTGTATGTCTTAACCATATGTTTTTTAAAAATAAAAAATACGAGGACCAGCAGGTGGTCGTGGACTCATGTAGTCAACCATGGTTCAAGTCCTGGACCCGGTGACTTAAAACTTAATGCCGGCACATGTACATGTGTGCCCAAAATCCCAAGAGGTGAATGGAGGAAAAGGGATTGCAGCATGGCCATCCTCCCGGGAGGTGATTTCTTGCTTTCTGTCTCTGTTTCTCTCTTTGGCAAGCACATGCACCCTATAGAAAAAGTCTCTCAAAAATAAATAACAAGTACATTTTCAAGGTACATGGAAATTTCTAAAAATACATTTTTACCTCCCCGTTGACTTCCATAATGGATTATGAAATCCAGTGAGTCAAGCCACAGTTTTTATTCATAGAATAAGTAGAATATAATAGAATCGGTGTGTACTCATACTGGTGATAAGTGTTGTTTGATAAAACCTTTGATAAAACCTATGGTCCTGATGTAATGTGTAGTTAAAGAATTATTCTAGCACACAAACTGTACATTGTATGAGCTCTGTGATACTGCTTTGCTCTGAGCGCTTTAAGAAAGTTTTGCTATAGAGTGCATGCACTCTTCAGAGACACAAAGAGAGACAGAAAGCAAGAAATCACCTCCCCAGGGGACTGGCCATGCCGCAATCCTTTCTCCTCCATTCTCTTAGGATTTTGGGCACGCGTGCACACATGCCCAGCGTGAGTTTTATGCCACCAGATCCGGGACTTGAACTGCAGTTGACTATATGGGAGTCCAGCGACATAACCATTACAACATCTGCTGGTCCCATCTCACTGAGAGCTTTTTAAAAAATTAGGTTACAGTTTCCTTAGTCTTTGCACTATACTTTCTCTGTTGATAAGGATTAGTACTAAAGAGAGTACACTGGTCTCGGAGCAGGTATTTTTAGCCTGGAAGACCCAGGATAAGCACGCACTGCTGTGCAGCAAACCAGTTTGTGGAACAGGGTCAAGGGTAGAACACGTGCAGTGGGAGGTATCAATCTGCTGCTTAGGTTCCTGTCCCAGTTTATTGGGGATGCTTTGGAGTCAGTTATTCCTTTTACTGAGATAGGTTTGCAAAAGAAAGAATTGAAATTCATTGGCAGGGAAATAATGAGCCTTAATGAATCATTCTTAGTAAAGCGCTTTGATATCACTTCATTAAAATCAGTTCTTGGGACCAGCAGATGATGTAATGGTTACATCGCTGAACTCCCACATAGTCGACCATGGTTCGAGTCCCAGACCCAGCAGCTCAAAACTCATACCAGGTGCGTGTGCGTGCATGCCCAAGATCTTGAGAGGAGAATGGAGGAGAGGATTGCAGCGTGGACATCTCCCTTGGGGGGTGATTTCTCACTTTCTATCTGTCTGTCTCTGGATCTCCAGTGAGCACATGCCCCCATAGCAAAAATCAATCTCTAGTATAAAAAATAATAAAATCATTTCTGTAATACACTCTCCATTGTACCCTGTTGGGGTTATTTTCTGAAGTGTCAGTGCCATAATCACTGGTGTTTTAAATTCCTGCTCTGCTGGATACACTCTTGAAAGTGCCCTGGGTAGATCTCTCTTACGTGACGCCTTTGCTTGCTCAGATACCACCCAGTGTATAAATATTTCCTTAGTGTGCAATGACAGGAAGTACCTTTCGGCCACTGACACGGCTCCAGCTGCTCTCGAGGCCACTGAAGAATTATCTACCTGAAAGAAAGAGCTCACACTCACTTAAGTTGCTGTTTGAGTTTTGTGCCCAGAACTACCGCTGGTGGAGCAGGGGGCATAAAAATTTCTGGCCATGAGTTTGAAATTGGTTGAATAAAATATGACAAAAACCCTGGAAACTGGCCGTGGTGTCTCAAGAGGAAAGAATGATGCACTCCTGCTAGACATCCGAGTTACGGAACGCCTGACAACTGGTTACCATGGGGTGATAGTATCCCAGCATGCAGGTGGCCACACCCCAGGCACACACACACACACACGCACACACATACACATACGGGCCTGACCTGGGGTTCAGTTGATACCCCAGAGGGGAGAGGCTGCCCTTTTAACACTTTTATTTATTTATTTTAATTGAATGGGCTTTTCTGGCATTAAGGTAGGAGCGAAAGTCAAGACAGATACTAGCCTTTCCGTCTTCATCTTTCTAGAATTGGCTTTCCTTTTCTGGCCCTTATATTCACTTTATACTTAATTGGCCCTGAACATACCCTGGTCTAAAAAATTAGAAAATCGGTATTAAATGAAAGCTCCAGGAATTCACGGATACTGGTGTTATCAATAAAAGAACACCAGAGAACCCACAGCACCTCACTGCCCCGTTGCAGTTTGTGCACGTCTTTCTTATTTCCACTGGAAATAAAATGGACCTTTCTTCTTGTCTTGCAGACTCGCTCTTTACTGAGCGTGTTTGAAGAAGATGCTGGCACCCTCACGGACTATACCAACCAGCTGCTCCAGGCCATGCAGCGTGTCTACGGAGCCCAGGTACACCCTACCCGCTCTTCTGCAGAGAGACAGAACAGGGCCTCTGCCCTCAGCTTGAACTTCTCTTGAATTAAAGTTTGAAATAAAATTATTTTCCTTATATCTGTTCTCAAAAACCTCAGAAAAGCTAAGAAATTACAGTAATTTTCCTGTAGCAAGAACCAGTGGAAAGGGGGCACACAATTTCTTTGAATTTTTCTTAATTCCACCCGAAAGGGAAGCATTCGAGTCTTCTCTTCCTACTTATTTATGAGTGGGTCCAGTATTTTGAGACATGCTCTTTGTCTTTCTCACAAATGGGCAGTCTTAGATGTCGCTGTGGGAGGGTAGAGATGGTTTTTCAAGGACTGCTTCTAGAAAGACTTGAGTCACAGTTCTGAAACTAATGGGTGGCTTCTTTGTTTTGAGGAACAGATAGCTCTGGTTTGCGAAACCACGGAAAAGGAGTTGCTGAGCTAGCAGAGTTTTAGATTAAGAAGTGCCATGTATTTTGCTTTCGAAGAGATTCATGAGTTACCTTGGAATAAAATTCATTTTGTTGCACGTCAAAATGTTATGGCAACTGATGATTTTCATTATCGATTCCTTGCTGACTTAAATCTATATGTGATGATATTTCATTTTCTCATTCATCTCTAAACAAATACCACACTCAGTAGTATACAGCCCCTAACAAGCATGTGTAGTCATCTATTCGTCACTCACTATATGTCCTTGCCATTTAGGGAACTGGAAGACAGAACAGGTCCCAGAGAGTGTTGGAGATACATAGTGGGGTCACCTAACCCAGGGAGTCATGCTGGTCATCCAAAAGAAGGACTATTGTGATGGTTGAGATCTATTGAATATTTAATAGCGTCTAGCCAGGCAGCTTCAGGGGCTTTTATGCTGATTATTTTTCATTTAAATTCCCTCCAAAGTCTGTGATGTGGATGCTATTATTATCTTCATTTAACAGGTCAGGAGACCTAAGGATTTTGATGAAGAGTAACTTGCCAAGTCCACCCAGTTAATTTATGGCAGAGCAAATCAGCCTGAAGGCCAATCAAACTCATCACTACTAAGCATGGGGATAGTGGTCCAAACTAGAGAAGTAGCAGTAGGAATGGAAAGAAGTAGCTCGATTTCGGAGGTACTTAGGAGGTGGACTGGTGATTGATTGGATGTGAAAGGGTCGCGCAGGTGAAGGACTAATAGAAAATGACGCCCAGGGAGTTAGGAAGTGGCACAGTGGTAATGCAACTAGACTCACATGGGAAAGGTCCTGGGTTTGTGTCCTGCCCCCTCCCTGAGCACACCAAGCATGTACATGCCCACCTATGATCCGGGCTTGAGATTCAGGTGGGTCGTAGCATAAGGACTCTGTTGGACGTGGCACTCTCTGCTTTTTTTCTGCCTCTCTCTCTCATGGGAGAAATAAGTGAAAAAAACTTAAAAGTAATAATAATAATTGACATAATGGCTATGTCGCTGGACTCCCACGTAGTCGATCGTGGTTTGCGTCCCGGACCCGGTGACTTAAACTCACGCCGGGCACGTGTGTGTGCGTGCCCGAGATCCCGAGAGGAGAATGGAGGAGAAGGGATTGAGGTGTGACCATCCCCCCGGGAGGGGGATTTCTTGCTTTCTGTCTCTCTATCTCTCTCTGTCTTTCTGGTGAGTGCATGCACCCTGTAGCAAAAACCTCTCCAAAAAAAAAAAAACCAGGTCTTTGACTTAAATAACAGGTGGACAGACAGAGGAACACAGGAAGAGGAGCAGGGTGTGTGTTCCTGTGTGTGTGTGTGTGTGTGCCTGCACACATAGGATCTTGCTCACATGTATGCATATGTTTATGTGTGTGATGGGAATGGTGGCAAGCCTATCATAAGGTCCTCTTTTTTTTTTTTTTTTTTTTTTTTGAGGGTTTCTTTTTTCTCGTG